AAGAACTATGGACAGAAGTCCGCGACATTGTTAAGGGGGCGGCAACAAAGTACGTTCCAAAGAAAAAGAAAACCAAGAAGGCAAAATGGTTGTCTGCTGAGACACTGGAAGTAGCCCAAGAAAGGAGGAAAGCAAAAGAAACAGGGATAAGGGGAGATATGCCCAGTTAAATGCGCAATTCCAGAGGTTAGCCAGAAGAGATAAGGAACTATTTTTAAATAAGCAATGCATGGAAGTGGAAGAAGACAACAGAATAGGAAGGACAAGAGACCTCTTCCAGAAAATTAGAAACATGGGAGGTAAATTTCAGGCAAAATGGGCATGATAAAAAAAGATGGCAGGGACCTAACAGAAGCTGAAGAGATCAAGAGAAGGTGGCGAGACTATACAGAAGATCTGTATAGGAAGGATAATAATATTGAGGATAGTTTTGACGGTGTGGTGAATGAATTAGAACCAGACATCCTGAGGAGTGAGGTTGAATGGGCCTTAAGAAGCATTGCTAACAGCAAGGCAGCAGGAGACGACGGGATCCCAGCTGAACTGTTTAAAATCTTAAAAGATGATGCTGTCAAGGTGATGCATGCCATTTGCCAGCAAATATGGAAAACACAAGAATTGCCATCAGACTGGAAAAAATCAACTTATATCCCCATACCAAAAAAGGGAAATGCGAAAGACTGCTCAAACTTCCGTACAGTGGCCCTTATTTCTCATGCCAGTAAGGTAATGCTCAAGATCCTGCAAGGAAGACTCCAGCAATACATGGAGCGAGAGTTGCCAGATGTACAAGCTGGGTTTAGAAAAGGCAGAGGAACGAGAGACCAGATTGCCAATATCCGCTGGATAATGGAGAAAGGCAGGGAGTTTCAGAAAAACATCTACTTCTGCTTCATTGACTATTCTAAAGCCTTTGACTGTGTGGATCATAATAAATTGTGGCAAGTTCTTAGTGGGATGGGCATCCCAAGCCCCTTCCCTCTCTCCTGAGGAATCTGTACAAGGACCAAGTAGCAACAGTCAGAACTGACCACGGAACAACAGACTGGTTCAAGATTGGGAAAGGCGTACGGCAAGGCTGCATCCTCTCACCCAACCTTTTTAACTTGTATGCAGAACACATCATGCGAGGATGTGCGGGGCTTGAGGAATGCAAAGCTGGGGTGAAAATTGCTGGAAGAAACATTAACAACCTCAGATATGCAGATGACACCACTCTGATGGCCGAAAGCGAGGAGGAGCTGAGGAGCCTTCTAATCAAGGTGAAAGAAGAAAGCGCAAAAGCCGGGTTGCAGCTAAACGTCAAAAAAACCAAGATTATGGCAACAAGAATGATTGCCAACTGGAAAATAGAGGGAGAAACCGTGGAGGCCGTGACAGACTTTGTATTTCTAGGTGCAAAGATTACTGCAGATGCAGACTGTAGCCAGGAAATCAGAAGACGCTTACTTCTTGGGAGGAGAGCAATGTCCAATCTCTATAAAATAGTAAAGAGTAGAGACATCAGACTGGCAACAAAGATCCGCCTAGTCAAAGCCATGGTATTCCCTGTAGTAACCTACGGATGTGAGAGCTGGACCTTAGGGAAGGCTGAGCGAAGGAAGAGATGCTTTTGAGCTGTGGTGTTGGAGGAAAGTTCTGAGAGTGCCTTGGACTGCGAGAAGATCCAACCAGTCCATCCTCCAGGAAATAAAGCCCGACTGCTGACTGGAGGGAAGGATACTAGAGACAAAGTTGAAGTACTTTGGCCACATCATGAGGAGACAGCAAAGCCTAGAGAAGACAATATGCTGGGGAAAGTGGAAGGTAAAAGGAAGAGGGGCCGACCAAGGGCAAGATGGATGGATGGCATCCTTGAAGTGACTGGACTGACCTTGAGGGAGCTGGGGGTGGTAACGGCCGACAGGGAGCTCTGGCGTGGGCTGGTCCATGAGGTCACGAAGAGTCGGAGACGACTGAACGAATGAACAACAACAAACAACCTGAAGCTAGGGATGAGCAGCAAGGAGAGAGATTTATTTCACTGCACCCAAATCCAGGATGTCCTACATATCATTTGGGACAGATACTGTGTAAAACTTTAGGATGCTGGGGTGGCCACTAACCTTGATGATCATGATAATAATAATAATAATCCCAAGTATAGATTCTGCAAGGAAGCAGGGGAAAGAATAGATCCCATCTTCAGCTGCTGCAAGAAGATAGCAGAGACAGACTCCAAGCAGAGGTACAACACCGTTGCTCAGATGATCCATTGGAACTGCCTGCCACAAAGAACTGGTGGGATCACAAGCCGGAAAACGTTACACAAAATGAACATGTCAAACTCCTCTTGGACTTCCGATACAGACATACTGTGTTTTTGTGTCAGTAAAATAATAATAATAATAGTAATAATAATAATAATTGTTTTTCAATGATTATCTGTGGACTTTTTAGCTGATGGCAATGGATTTATTTGGAAGACGACATGAAACAGCGAACTGTTTTAATGTATTTATAATTGTTTTTAATGTAGGTTAGTTATATATTATGTTTGTTTTATTGTTTGGCACCGAATGGTGCCTGTTGGTAGCCATCCTGAGTCCCTCTTTGGACAGGATAGAAATGCTCCTAATAAATAAATCCATATAAATAAATATGTAATGTTCGTTTGTGGGATTAACAGAACTCAAAAACCACTGTGTAAATTGACATCAAATTTGGACACAAGACACCTCTCAGGCCAACGAGTGACCATCACTCATAAAAACATTGTAAAACACAACAGAAGGGTCTTAAAAAGCAAAAAATAACCCCAAAATTATATTACAACACATGTGCAAAACCAGACACACACACACACACATATATATACGCAAACACACATAGAATCATAGAATCAAAGAGTTGGAAGAGACCTCATGGGCCATCCAGTCCAACCCCATTCTGCCAAGAAGCAGGAATATTGCATTCAAATCACCCCTGACAGATGGCCATCCAGCCTCTGTCGCAATCATTCATGCAATCTACACAAATATATTTACACATATAAACACATACACAGACTGAGCCACAGCAACGCATGGCAGGGAACGGCTAGTAAATAATAAATATCTCATAGTGTTTCAACCAATTCAACCTAGTTTGCGGCAGCCACAAAAACCAAGTTTCTGGAGTTGAATAACTACTTTCAAAGGAAGGGTCGCACAATTAAACGAGAAATAACACTTTCAAACCAGGACCAGACAATATTTCAAATGTTGTTCCCTAGTGTAATCATTAATGCCAGAAAATAGGTTCACCATTCAGGGACACACAGAGAGTTAAAATAATAATCAGCAATAGTCCATAATTTCAGAAGATCGTCCTTGCATCACAGCCACTGTAAAAACAATAATATTTTGGAGATTCCAACATAGACATCACACATACGCGGGTCCCCACATGACCACAGAAGGGCATATTATGGAGACCAATCAGAAATCTGATCTTTCAAAGTCAAATAAATCCAAGTCACTAGAAAGTAAAAAATATAATAAAAAAAATCTGCGCATCCATTACTCTCCACCAGTCTATTTTGTGAAGCCCTCCGATGATACAAACCAAGGCATTTGAGGCAGAACCACCAGGACTGGATTCAAGATCACTGAAGCACCACACTCAAACCCTAACCCTGCTGCTGGGATTTCCTCAATTAAGAGGTGAATTTTTGGTTCATCCTATCCCAATTGCACACAATCAGTAGGAGAAAAGATAGATAAATAGATAGATAGGTAGGTAGGTAGATGCAGAGAATACGGGGGTTGAATGAAAAGTAATGCCTCCACCTTTGTTACTTGAGTTTGTATGGGAATATTTTAATAAATCAAATGCAGAAATGATCCTTAGAAGGTGCTCTTTAACTACCACTCATCACTTTCCCACATAATCACCAGACAATTGGAGACATCTCTGCCAATGATGAACAAGTTTTCTGAAGCTGTCACTGAAGAAGTCGACACTGTGTTTCTGCAACCAACGTCTCACGGTTCTCTCATCCTGAGTACCCATCGTGCACAGATCTTCTGATAGCCAAGCAAAGCAATAATGTGACCCACACGTTCTTGTGAAATGCCGATTATGCTAGAAATTTCTCTCTGAGTGACACGACGATAATCCTGAATCAATATGTCAACCTTTTGCTTGTGAAACTCAGTGGTTGCTGTCACAAGACGCCCAACTCTTTGTTTGTCACGCAAGTCAGATTTTCCCACCTCAACATCATTAAACTTACTTGCCCAATGACGCACAGTCCTCACATCCATACAATCCCCATCAACAGCTTGCATTCTCTGATGAATCTCCTTTGGGGTGACACCTTCTGCTCTCAAGAATTCAAAGACTGCACATTGCTTAAGTCGCTTTGACCAACCATCTGTGCAGGGTTCCATACTTCGCACTTTAACAACACAACCGTTCAATGCTAAGGCTTCCCGCCAAAACGAAACTGTAGAGGAGAGTCTACTGAACAAGCCAATACCTGCAGCACACCAGTACTGCCATCTGTTGAGGAGTTACGAAGGCCCGTTCAATGCTAAGGCTTCCCGCCAAAATGGAACTGTAGAGGAGAGTCTACTGAACAAGCCAATACCTCCTGCATACCAGTACTGCCATCTGTTGAGGAGTTACGAAGGTCCCGTTCAATGCTAAAGCTTCCCGTCAAAATGGAACTGTAGAGGATAGTCTACTGAACAAGCCAGTACCTGCAGCACACCAGTACTGCCATCTGTTGAGGAGTTACGAAGGTAGAGGCATTATTTTTCATTCAACTCTCATACCATTCTTTCCACACACAAGCAAACTTGGGTCCTCCAGGTGTGTTGGACTTCAACTCCCACAATTCCTAACAGCTTACCAGCTCTTAGAAATTGTGGAAGTTCAAAACTCCTGGAGAGAAGGTCTAATTTGGTCCATGCCTAGCCTGGCCAATGAAACATTTCTTCAACATCCAAAATCATAGGCAATAGCGTCCTACTCACACGATGTGGGCCAGGTCCAGGGGCTTCTCGGGCTCCTCGGGGTAGACGGGGTGCGGGGGTTCCCGGCTGGGCACGCAGCCCAGGGACTTGCTGATGGCGTGGCTCAGCTTCTTGGCAGGCGATTTCTAAGGTTTCAGACAGAAGCAAAAGCAGAGACAGGCATCATTATGGGCACAGCTGCTCCGTAGAATAGAATCACATAGAATAGAATAGCTTTATTGTCACTGTGCTATCTATACGAAAACATATATAATGTTCGTTTGTGGGATTAACATAACTCATAAACCACTGGATGAATTAGCACCAAATTTGGACAGCATACACCTAACAACCCAATGTATGTCCTTCACTCAAAAATTTGATTTTGTCTTTTGGGAGTTGTAGTTGCTGGGATTTATAGTTCACCTACAAATACAATAGAATTCAACCAACATAAGACACCCAACAACCCAATGTATGTCCTTCACTAAAAAAAAAAAAAAAAAAAAAAGAAAAAAAAAAAAAAAAAAAAAACACACAAAAGAACAAAGGAATGAGAGAAAGAAAGAAAGAAAGAAAGAAAGAAAGAAAAAAAAAAAAAAAAAAAAAAAAAAACAAATAGCATGATAGAATTGGACACAAGAAACCTAACAACCCAATGTATGTCCTTCACTAAAAAAAGTTGATTTTGTCTGGGATTTATAGTTCACCTACAATCAAACAGCATGATAGAATTGAACCAACTGGGCATACAGGACTCCCATGACCAACAGAAAACACTAGAAGGGTTTGGTGAGCATTGACCTTGAGTTTGGGAGTTGTAGTTCACCTACATCCAGAGACTACCATGGACTCAAACAATGATGGATCTGACCAAACTTGGCACGAATATTCCATATGCCCAAATATGAACACAGATGGAGTTTGGGGGAAATAGACCTTCTGAACCCCATGAACAATAGAATTGGGGCAACCTTCCCACACTGAACCTCCATGACCAATAGAAAATACTTAAGGCCATCCAGTCCAACTCCCTTCATCAGGGCAAGAAACAACAAGAAGTACTGTTTACCACAAGCATAAAGAAATTACATATATTAGAAACCAACACTTTCTCATTACTTTATTTTCCAGATCACCAGACTGGGCCACAGCAACGCCTGGCAGGGGACGGCTAGTTTTACTATAAAACTACATGCCTTCCCCAGAACACATCACAAAACAACACACCCTTCCCTCCATACCCCAACCACCACCCACAACCCCCCATGCCACATCTATGCAAAACCATGGAGTTCAAGTATAGCCACAGCTCTAGGATAAAAGATGCCTCTCAGTCGTCTGTTTGTCCTTTTCTTTGTCACCCTGTACCATCCGCCAGGTGGTAATAATAATAATAAAAAGAATATTCCAGGTGAGATGGATCCCCAAGAATGCTCTGAGGTTCCTTAAGGCAGCAGGACTGACCAAGTTCTTACAAGAAGGAGAGAAAGAGAGTAGCAGTGGAACTCTCTGCCCCGGAGTGTGGTGGAGGCTCCTTCTTTGGATGCTTTTAAGCAGAGGCTGGATGGCCATCTCTTGGGGGTGCTTTGAATGTGATTTTGCTGCTTCTTGGCAGAATGGGGTTGGACTGGATAGCCCACCAGGTCTCTTCCAATTCTACGATTCTGCCATCCAGTCTCTGCTTAAAAGCATCCAAAGAAGGAGCCTCCACCACACTCCAGGGCAGAGAGTTCCACTACTGAACAGCTCTCTCTCACCGTTAGGACGTTCTTCCTAATGTTCAGGTGGAATCTCCTTTCCTGTAGTTTGGGGCGCCTTCCTATCTGCCTCTGTGCAGCTACCAAACCATATGGAGATGCAGTTGGTTAGGACACTCTCTATAGCACAGAGAGTCCTAGAAAGAGTCTATAGAAAGTCACCAGCAGTTTTCCATTCAGTCCTTGATTCCTCAGAAATAATAATAATAATAATAATAATAATAATTATTATTATTAAAAACATTTATATTCCGCCCTTCTCACCCCAAAGGGGACTCAGAGCGGAGCACAGCATATACACGGCAAACCTTCAATGCCTGGATACAATACATAAACATTAAAAACATTTATCGAAATATTAAAATACACCATTTAAAATAACACCATTTAACACGCAACTCTACTACTCCTTTCTACCTAATTCCAAGGAAGCCCCTCAGGTGCTGGACGAGTGCCTGTCCGCTGCGGCTGTCTGGATGAGGAGGAACAAGCTGAAGATCAATCCCGACAAGACAGAGGTCCTCCTGGTCGATCGCAAACCGGATAGGGGTATAGGGTGGCAACCTGTGCTGGACAGGGTTACACTCCCCCTGAAGTCACAGGTCCGCAGTCTGGGTGTCCTCCTGTACTCATCGCTAACGCTTGAAGCTCAGGCATCGGCGGTGGCCGGGAGGGCCTTTGCACAATTGAGACTTGTGCGCCAACTGTGACCATACCTCGCGAAGGCAGATCTGGCCAGGGTGGTCCATGCCTTAGTCCAGTGTTTCTCAACCTGGGGGTCGGGACCCCTAGGGGGGTCACAAGGGGGTGTCAGAGGGGTCGCCAAAGACCACCAGAAAACACAGTACTTTCTGTTGATTATGTAGGATCTGTGTGGGAAGTTTGGCCCAATTCTATCGATGGTGGGGTTCAGAATATTCTTTGATTGTAGGTGAACTATAAATCCCAGCAACTACAACTCCCAAATGTCAAGGTCTATTTTCCTCAAACTCCACCAATGTTCACATTTGGGCATATTGAATATTCATGCCAAGTTTGGTTCAGATCCATCATTGTTTGAGTCTACAGTGCTCTCTGGATGTAGGTGAACTACAACTCCAAAATTCAAGGTCAATGCCTGCCAAACCATTCCAGTATTTTCTGTTGGTTGTGGGAGTTCTGTGTGCCACGTTTGGTTCAGTTCCATTGCTGGTGGAGTTCAGAATGCTCTTTGATTGGAGGTGAACTATAAATCCCATCACCTGCAACTCCCAAATGACAAAATCAACCCCCACAACCCCACCAGTATTCAAATTTGGGCATATTGGGTATTTGTGCCAAATTTGGTCCAATGAATGAAAATACATCCTGCATATCGGATATTTACATTACAATTCATAATAGTAGCAAAATGACAGTTATGAAATAGCAAGGAAAATAATTTTATGGTTGAGGCTCACCACAACATGTGGACCTGTATTAAGGGGTCACGGCATTAGGAAGGTTGAGAACCACTGCCTTAGTCACCTCCAGATTGGACTATTGTAATGCACTCTACGTGTGGCTGCCCTTGAAAATGGCTCGGAAATTTCAGTTGGTGCAACGGGCGGCGGCCAGGTTGTTAACTGGAGCTCCTTACAGGGTCAACCCTCCTGTATACAAACCCACACAATCACTTCGATCATCTGGAGAGGCCCTACTCATGCTCCCACCTGCATCGCAAGCACGATTGCTGGGGACGAGAGAGACGGCCTTCTCTGTGGTGGCCCCTCGACTCTGGAACTCACTCCCTAAGGACATCAGGCATGCCCCATCTCTGGCAGTCTTCAGGAGGAGCTTGAAAACATGGTTGTTCCAGTGTGCCTTCCCAGAATAATGAACCCTTAGCATTATGTCCCCCAAAAGCACTTTATATCGATTTAGGGCTGCTTGTATCTCTCCATCAACGTCCCATCTCCTGCATCTTGTGCATGCCTAGCATCATTTTTTAAAACTTCAATTACATTTGGCCCAGCCATAGTTTTAAATGCGCACTGTACCTTGTTTAATGTTTATGCTATTTGTGTATGTGATTTATTTTTAACTGCTTTGTATTGTACCTGTTATTGCTTGTATTGTGGGCTCGGCCTCATGTAAGCCGCACCGAGTCCCTTGGGGAGATGTTAGCGGGGTATAAATAAAGTTATTATTATTATTATTATTATTATTATTATTATTATTATTATTTAAAACCATCCTAGCCATCAGCGTCAAATCTAATTGGCCTGGTCATCTTTCCTCTTGCTGCTTTATTGTCCTGTCCTGAACGCTTGGTCCCACAGCCAAGTTTTGACCATCCTTCTAAAGGACAGGAAGGAGGGGGCTGACCTGATCTCACCAGGAAGGGAGTTCCATAGCCAGGGAGCAGTCACCGAGAAGGCCCTCAGACAGTCCAGTCTTTGCTGGGTTCTTTTCACCAAGGCTGCCATATGAACACTGACCCAGGTTAGATCCTCCTTCACAGTGACACCCAGGAACTTGAAACCGCCACCAACTCCCCTTTGGTCTCCATTTATGACCAAAGGCTGGATTTCTGGTCTGCTTTCTTTGAGGAACATGACATTGAACCAAATAAAAAGGATTGCAATGATAATTTCTGTGAAAGAACACTTGCACTTGCTTGCAGGTGAAATTTCATCGTACTTTCCAAATCTCCCTGACACCCGATTTGCACTTGCCAGAAGCTCGTTCACAGTCAAAATTGAAGATGTTCCTGAGACAGCACAAGAGTTCATTATGCTTATTAACAGTGATGCAGTATTTTTATTTATCATGTCAAGAGCAGACCAAACAGTTGCATTGCATTTTTAACAAACAAGCAAACAAACAAGCAAACAAACCACAAAGTTTGCAAGCTTGGTAGTTGATTAGATGTCCTTTGACCAGTAGCTGACCACTTGGAGTGCTTCTGGTGTTGCCACAAGGAGGTCCTCCATGCTCAGGGTGCATCGTAGTCAGTGGTCTCTGGTTTGCTCTTCTCCACACTCGCACGTCGTGGATTCCACTTTGTGGCCCCATTTCTTGAGGTTGGCTCTGCATC